CTCTTCCTATGCGTGGGGTAAAAGAAAAATAAAATAAATTAAAAAAGGTACCTCGGCTGGCTGACAAACTTCAGGAACATGTTGGATTGTTGCTATGGTACCTGGAGGGGCGTCCGTGGTTACAGCCCATCATCATCCATCGATCCGGTCCGGGCGCGCGTGAATTAGTCCCGTGGATTGTTTCCGGAAGGTCCCGCCCTTCATTTATCTCCGTCCCTGGGCTTATTCAGAAACTACTATCTACTACTCCCGGTTCCTCACGGCTACCAAGGGAAGGGAAAAGAAAATACATGGATGCTCGTCAGTGGCATGGTTTCCATACGGATTTCTTCTGTCACAAGGTGTATCCTGCGAGTTTCGCGGGGTAGGGCCCCGAATCGTGTAGATCTATCAATTTGATCGGCATCAAACGGCCAAAGTTAAAAACGGCTGATACAGAGCATGGCAACATGGCTGGCTTGCTCACCCTGGATGGGATCGTAGTGGTTGCTCGGTTTGTCTTGCACCACGCAATGGCCTGTCAGCCTATCTCGCCTGTCCCACCCCCAGGTTATCCGTGCCCATGACACGCCGCACCGAACGTTCCTCGCCGAGCTGATTGTTCTCGAAGGAGTAATTGGACCCTGGGCAAAGTCATCTGCACCCGATGTCTGCTGCACGGCTCAGCCAACAATTCGCGCCCGCTGTCCATGCAATGATTGTCCCGGCATTAGTTTGCATGGCGATGCTTCACTTTCGCGATCCCGCGCATCCAATGAGGGGCTCTCAATAGCCTTGGTTTAAGGGGCGGTGGTGCACCAGCTCTTCGTCAAGGCTCGCAAGTGCAGAACTGATGCAAAACGTTAACAGGAGCTTAATGGAGCTGTGCTCAGTTTCGAAAGCTTTGCCCAGGCTCTGGGCCCATCGTCGGCTCGGGCGCGCTATCATATGAAGCGCCCATTGTTCTGCCTGCCAGGCCGAGCGAGTCGGTTGATGCGGCCCCGACAATTACCCATCGACTCAGCCGATATGGTGTGTACTACTACAGCATTCGTATGACACGTTCCGATGAACGCTGAAATCCCGGCGTGTTCCTTGTGGAGGTGACAGGCAATAAGCAGGGGACTTCCTGTGAGGCCCATGCCTGTGAGACTGGCTGACCACATTGTCCTATGGTACGTACCTTGCTGGCTCACATCATCCGCCAATGCAGGCCTTCATGTGGGGTGTGGAGGTCCCAAGTGCCTCGTGGCAGAGGTTACCTACGCGTTCAATGTTAGGGTTGCAGTAAGCATTGCGAAACAGCCCCCCCCCCCTTTCATCAGCCAGCTGCACCCGGGGGGTTAAACCACGGCGCTCACCACCAATGGTGTTGGCGAATATCAAGTCCAACTGCATCTTATCAATCCAGTTTGGCGGCTACTAGCCTTCTTGAGCATCGCTCGTTACCCACCGGCCCCATCGCAAATCGGTGGCTACGGCTGAATGGAAGGACATCAAGGCCTCTTTAGCGCGCTAACCTCAAGTTCTGTGGCGTTGCTCGGTTTCATCCCACGCCCTGATCCCGGCAGTGTCGTTACGGGCGGGCTGCCTACGTACGCATTCTCTTAACATTTTCAGCTTATGCCTTCACAGCTGACTCCTAATTCAAAAGATATTTCATGCCTGGCTCAGCTAAATGCTATATTGAAAAGCGGAGGGAGTGGTAATATTGTGGTCTAATTCACAGCATCAGCTCGACTAGTCGTCCGCCGCCTTGGGACACTGTCAGGTGCCCCAGATGGTGGCTCGGTGCTCATGCTGTGCAATCGTAGAATGTCTCAGCGACCGAATTCCGTCTAGCAAACGATGCGTGAATCTGTCTCGACCAGAAAGAAATTAAATAAATAAAGGAAAGTCGAGTTCTTGTGGCGCAGTTGAGAAAGCCTCAGGGCAAAAAAGTTCAAAAAGAAATCTCCCCGACTGGGAGTCGAACCCAGGTCTCCCGCGCTTGTTCCTGTTAAGGATTGACAAGCGGAAATCATGACCGTTAGACCATCGAGGATTTTCAGTTGTAATGCAGCTTACTATTTTGCTTCAAGACTTAACCTATACGCTGATCGGAGACTTCAATCCAATTGACATCATAGCTCGTAGCGGAGCAGATCAGTTCTTTCCAGATTGCTGAACTATCCAAGACCCACTGTGGGTAAGGAGCTACGAGAGTACTAACAATACAGATATAACTCGACGATCTGATTCTCCACGTACCTGCCACAGTACATGGCACTTTCCTGGACGGTCCGGATGTTTCTTCATACAAGCAGGAATAGAGGAGGGTGTGCTCACAGGGTCCGCTCACACTTGGCAGTCAGGAGCCAAAGTAGGGGTTGGCAGGACTCGATTCTCCCTTTCAACCCCGCCACACTTCATCACTGTCATTCATAGGACAGCATCAAGTGCCTCCATCCCCCGGCCAGGCTATTTTAGACGATTTCTACTCCTGGGCTCTGACTGGTGGATTCCCAAAGGAATGGTCGTAGATATCTCCCTCCGGCTCCAGTCACGGACCTAGAGTGTAGTTCATTTCATACTACCATACCCGTCTCAGGCTGACTTGGTGATCCTGTTCCAATCTACTATAATGAGCAAAGGATGTCATTCATCCACATCATGTTTCAGATGATCTTGCATGTCAATTCAGCACTTCCAGGTTGGCACTCCCGATTTCATTTGCTGCTTATGAGTTTCACGTAAGCTCCCAGTGATCATCATGCTGTTTACATCCCCCCGGTCACCACGCTGCCCCTGCTTTCCCGATCTACTACTTGTTCAACCCGGGTTTCTGGTTCATCAAATGACGGCCCGACACAAGACAGAGAGCAAGGGAGCTAGGGAGCATCACCACCACACCACCGCCTTGCTGCTCTTGAGTCACAGCGTAAGTTATTCCTGTTCCTTTACAATGACCGACAACCAGTCCCAACCAGGCCGGTGTATATACTCAAAACAGTATGGAGCGTAGTGCGCTACATGGCTGAAGTGTCCCTCAAATCCAAGGCAACCAGTGATGCATCCCACCCGAAACGGTCGGCCATACGTCAAACCGCAGGTCAAAGCTCAAGCTGCCTGCTGCACGACAAGAGATATTCCACCTTGCACAGCCAATCGTCGGAGGCAATGCTAGCCTGGCCATTCAGGACAGACGATACGAGCTACACTTTCTAGCCGTGGGGTTCAGTTCCCCCATTTTCCTCTTCCCAGACTGGTAGTTCTAGATCGACCACAATAGGGGCATGGAACCGTTTCCCACCCCGATGCGGCCAACTGGTCGCCACGATCGCCGCATTGACAATACATGTTTCGCGTCGCCTTAAACAAGGCCCATCTTCATTCCCAGTGTGTCTTTCGTCTAAGCACAAAGGCACGGAGGATGACGTTGATTGATCGGCTTCAGAGCCTTGGAATCCATCAGATGGCCACCCAGAAGACGGCAATAGCAGAGCATTTTGTGATGATTGGAACAGTTGACTGACTGGCGCTCGAAGATTATTACCGGCAAACTGATTGTTATCTAGTTTGGGTGCCTTTTTGCCCGTGAGATCGACAAGGCTCTGCTTTTTACTGCCCGGGGGAGGCAGAATAAACGGATCCTTATGTCCTCGTACATCCACGGTTTGTGATGACGATGCCTGCGAAGTATACCATCGCACCCTCTCCGAGCCTCTCGACTCGTGTACATGGCCACATATTGCTAGCGACGGTCGAACTTTGCTTAACGCACCCCGCAAGGCTGTGCATCCGACTGAGATGCCTTCAACTCGGATATCGCAGTGGGAGTTAGGCGGAGTATGGGTCACGGTGATATCCGTATCCAGTGGAATGCTGTTCCAAAGCGCACCAGCATTTGAAGACTCGTATCCGTACGCCCAAGTTCCAGATGACTGGGAGTATGGAGAGCCAAAGACTTTGAAGATGGTCTTCGGGCCGTTAGGCCGGGTCAGCCGGATTAGTGCTGACTGGTGCCTGAGATAGACTATCGACGGTGACGCTTGGGTTACAATTTCCAGACACTTCTGGGTATCTTCTAGATGTTGGCCGTGAAAGCTAGAGCCGTGTTCAGCGTAGAAACCCGGGTCTAGTGTGATATCATGGTTTCCTGATCATTACCAGTACTCAGTACGTATCCATTGGCCTTTTGACTTTTTTTTTCTGTCCTTCAGCCCTACGAGTGGCCCCTCTCGGACAACAAAGACCGTATTTGGAGGCCCAATATTTGGCAGTCTTGATGGGAAGAAGACGAACCGCAGATGATGATTTTGACTTCGAAGTCAGCTGTAGCAATCCAGCTCATTGTCTTACGCAGTTCAGCAGCGCTCCCGTGGTTGGTGAGGTCACCGGCATGGATTAAGACATCACCAGCGGGAAGCTTGAAGCCGGCCTCCGACGGCGTGTAGGCGTGTGTATCAGAGACACAGACAAAACGTGTCTTTCGACGCAACTTCATGATTTTTTCCTTTATCGAACGCCCTCCTCGTGTTAAGCTGTCAGCACAGCCCGATGGCGTTACTATTTCGGTGAAGGCTTAGCGAAAGCGTTTTTGTGTTACCTAAAGCGGAGCGGACTATAGCTGCTGTGACAACGGCGTAGTTTCAAACGATGCGGTCACTCTAAAGTCTGGTCGTCCAACATCAGCTGTCGTCCATATACGTATGTCAGCCCTAGGCAGAGAATTTACTAGAAGGTTTTAGCACTGCACCCCGAAAATTGTACCACCTGACGAACGGACAAGTCTTGTCATGATTCTGATTATTCGAATTAACATTAAGCAACAGATGGATACTAACTACTATGCAATACTATGCAACAGGTGTGTCCACGTGCCATCCATCAGGCCGTGCTGAGTCAGCGGTCTGGCCAATGAACTCCGAAAGTCTCCGCCTGTCCCGTCGGAGGCGTCCGGCATCAGCCACCAATGATCGGGCGCCAATCTCTTCCCCGAACAAGCCGAGTGGAACCGCCTCTCACCATTACATGATGGAAGGAATCACGCTTCAGCGACCTCACGATACAACCTTCCGCTGTTCCCCCTCCCTTCTCACCACACCCTGCTCAGCCGCCGGTATCCTAGCTGCATTCTTCAACATCAGTATCATCGCTGGTTGTGGCTGACGGGCCACCTTCAGCCACTCTGCTTCATGATGCCTCGCTGGAAGCGCAGTAAACCACGCCCCGAGAAGGATGCAGCGACCAGCGGCGGCAAGTCCGGTGTATCTTCCGACTCCCCTGCAGCCCATTCTACTGCTGTGGCCTCCCTTCGCGCTGTTAGTGGCTGCTCTCCCGATGCCATAAGAACGACAGCAGTAACCCAAGACCAGGCACCATCCGACCCGGAAGCGATTCGAAAGCTAGCCAAGCAACACGCCGAGTTCGGACCCCTGGGCGATCCGTCGCATCTCTACACCAGCGAGCATCCTGGCGGAGAGATCCCTGATCCGGTCATTGATGAGCCTCCGTACTTCTTCGTTCTGACCACCTACGTCAGCTTCCTCGTGCTGATCTTCCTCGGCCACTTCCATGATTTCGTGGATAAGTGGTTTCGCTCCCATACGTACCGCCACTTGAAACCTCAGAATGGCTATGCGTCATTGTACAGCGATTTCGAGAGTTTCTATACGCGACGCTTGAAGCAACGGATCAATGACTGCTTCGAGAGGCCGATCATTGGTGTTCCGGGCAGGCATGTTACGCTGTTGGACCGGACGACTGAAGACAACCTCCACTTTAGACTTACGGGCACGACGACGGATACGCTCAATCTGAGTTCGTATAATTATCTGGGTTTTGCTCAATCGGAAGGCCCATGCACCGACTACGCCGAGGAGGTACTCCGGCGGGATGGCATTTGCATTGCATCGACTCCCGAGGGGGGGATTACGAAGCTGCATGCCGAGGTGGAAGATCAAATTGCTCGCTTTGTGGGGAAGGAAGCCGCAGTTGTGTTCTCCATGGGCTTTGTGACGAATGCGACTATCTTCCCTTCCATCATGGAAAAGGGATGCCTGATCCTGTCCGATGAACTCAACCATGCATCTATCCGATTTGGCGCTCGTCTGTCTGGCGCGGCCATCCAGGTCTTCGCGCACAACAACATGGCTGACCTGGAAAAGCGTCTCAGGGAGGCAATCTCTCAAGGTCAGCCCCGCACGCATAGGCCATGGAAGAAAATTCTTGTTACCGTGGAGGGTCTGTTCTCCATGGAAGGTACCATGTGCAATCTTCCTCGGATACTGGAATTGAAGAAGAAATACAAGTTCCACCTGTTTGTGGACGAGGCACACTCCATTGGAGCCGTTGGACGTCACGGACGCGGAGTCTGTGACTACTTCAAAGTGGATCCGGCAGAGGTCGACATCCTGTTGGGAACATTCACCAAGTCCTTCGGAGCCAACGGTGGCTATATCGCGGCCGACAAAGCCATCATTGACAAGATTCGCTGCACAAACGCTGGTCAAATATTTGGAGAAGCACCGTCGCTTCCTGTCCTTGCTCAGATCTACTCCTCGCTGCGACTCATTGCTGATGAGGATCCTCTTCACCCGGGCGAGGGACGGGAGCGGATGCAGCGCCTGGCCTTCAACTCGCGCTACCTTCGGCTCGGATTGAAGAGACTGGGTTTCATCGTCTACGGACACGATGACTCCCCAATTGTGCCATTGATGCTGTACAATCCGGCCAAAATGCCTGCCTTCTCGCGAGAAATGCTGCGTCGCAAAATCTCTGTGGTTGTTGTGACCTACCCTGCCACGCCCCTGGAGCTGTCTCGGGCGCGACTCTGCATCTCAGCCGCCCACACCAAAGACGACCTGGATCGCATCCTGCAGGCGTGCGATGAAATCGGCGATGCATTGGAGCTGAAATTCTCTTCGGGCATTGCAGGTGGCTTGAGGGAACCATTGTCTGCGCACGATAGCTCCAAGGGACCCAGGACGATTGAGCCTCCCCGTTGGCCTCTCGAAGAGGTCATTGCCAGGGGCACGCACGACGCAAATCAACCGTTATACTAAGCGGATGTCACCGCTTAATGTGACTAGAAATAAGATATTCTAATGCCGCATGATATTCAAGAATATACACGCCAAGAGCATATAGCTAATGCCCTCTTTTTTTTTTGGATTTGTTTGGGCGCTACGGGTTGTTTGAATTCTTTCGCTGAACAGAAAAAAGCCGGCATGTGAAGACGCCAGAGCGTTCTTGATAATATTAATATTAATGTATACAATAATGTTTCCTTTCTAGACAATATACAGACCCTCGCTGGACCCGGAGATCTTGCTCGGTTGGCGTTTACATCTTGGATATTAAGAAAAATTCTCTGCTAATCAGACACCAATGGCTGGTCGAGTTGCAATAGAAGGTTCGTTTGCTATTCTGGAATATGTATGTATGCGACCGTGGAAAAGTCATATTTTGAAATTTGAGTACTAGTAGTAGGGAGTGCCTGGACTGTCTGGGGGAAGACTGGGTCTCTATCTAGTGTCGCGATACAGTATTTGCGGGGTGGACTTAGCATGGTGTCGATGGAACATGACGGCACCAATTACCACAGTGAAATATACCATCCCAAGGGGTGAAAAGTACACCACTGCCGATATAAGTAGTTGTAATACCCAGCCAACCTATCCGAACTCCATCGCAAAACCCAAATCCACATGGACTTCAGGACTGGCGTCATAATACTAATAAAACCATCAGGGAAATCGTAGGGCCCCTTGACGATCCGGAACGGTTCACGTGACCTACAAGCCACGGGCGTTAGGGCTGTGGCCCTCGAACGGGGCTCTTCCCGCACAAAGAGGAAGTAGCGCCGCTCGCTTAGCGACGACCAGCGAACTCATCCGACATCGTTGTGTGCGTTGAACCTGCCCACCAACGACAACAACCGCCGACAACATACATCCCAAGGGAGTATCCTAGAGCAGCGCTCTTCCTTTCGCTGGATATATCCTTTTTGAACCGGTGACAGAGAGCAGGATGTCCGCCATCGAGCCAGTCGTGCGTACCGCCCCATCCCGAAACTATCATCCACATACAATCTCCTTGAAATGGAATACACATGTGTCAAATGAGGGCGTCACGGTCCTGGAGTCGGAAATTCATATACCAAAGTACATTTGTCGCTGACTTGAATTCTTGGGTTTTCGCAGGTCGTCATTGACGGCAAGGGACACCTCTTGGGTCGCCTGGCCAGCACTGTTGCTAAGCAGCTGCTCAACGGTCAGAAGATCGTCGTCGTGAGATGTGAAGCCCTCAACATCTCCGGCGAGTTCTTCCGTGCGAAGCGTATGTTCTATCCGACCCGGTTTCTTTCGATTTCATTTTGCAATATGGATTTTCTTTGGGATGAATGGGTGTGCGACCATTTTCGACATATGGAGGAGGACATCGGCAATTGATTGGAATATCTGTGGAGGAACAAGCAACACATGTGTGCTGGTGGACAACGGGCTGACCTGGATTTCGCGATATAGTCAAGTACCACGCCTACCTTCGCAAGATGACTCGTTTCAACCCCACCCGCGGAGGTGAGACTACCCGATGACTTTCCCCCTTCGATGGGGAAAGACGACACTTATTTCTTTTGCGGGACTCCGTGCTGAATCGCTACAGGTCCCTTCCACTTCCGTGCCCCCTCCCGCATCTTCTACAAGGCTGTCCGCGGCATGATCCCCCACAAGACCGCCCGTGGTGCCGCCGCTATGGAGCGCCTGAAGGTTTTCGAGGGTGTTCCTCCCCCCTACGACAAGAAGAAGCGCGTTGTCGTTCCCCAGGCTCTGCGTGTTCTCCGCCTGCGCCCCGGCCGCAAGTACTGCACCGTTGGTCGTCTCAGCCACGAGGTTGGCTGGAAGTACCAGGACGTTGTTGCCAGGTACGTTTATGCTGAAGTGGAGAGGATGAAATGGTAGATGTTGGAATATTGGGTGCAGAAGGCTAACGGATTCTTTTTTTCTACTCTTACAGACTTGAGGAGCGCAGAAAGGTTAAGAGCAGTGCATACTACGAGCGCAAGAAGGCCGCTCGCCGCCAACTCGTCCACGCCCAGAAGTCGGCGGGTGTTAACGAGCAGACCAAGAGCCAGCTCGCTCAGTACGGATACTAGATACCTAGTTGCGCGGCTGGTTGCTTGTGTTTGTGATGGGATGGGATGGGATCGCGAAACGGTTCTCTGCGAAGAATATGGACAGCAAGCCGATCGACCTTTTTCTCACTGTCCCTACCTTTTCATGAAATACCACAATTCTTATGTTGTGACGCACATGGAGGCTGGAGAGATCGATTCTTTCTACAAAAAAAATACAGGAGTCACTTGGGATGAAAGGTTGTTCAAAATAGCTGACCCGTTATTTCGCGCCGTGGCGGTTTAATCCAAGAATTTCTTTTCAAGAGTTCAAATGACTTTGCTGTGACGAATCCGATGCACCATTTACCACCGCTATTACTACTCCTACTGGCCCCTTGCAATTTTGTGTATTTCTAGGCCCCCGGACACGGAGAGAGAGAGACAGTACTGCCTATCTTGTACTTGATTTGCGATATGCGACTACCCAGGATGCCGGACGAGGCTCCATGTTGATCACCTATGCCGTGCCCACGCGATGCTGCCCTATCTTATTCCTGTGTAAAATGTTACCCTGAGCGCCACCGATTACCAGCCCCGATGATGTATAGCCGGTCACTACCTGCGTAGAGGGAGCCGTATCAGTGACCAGGTAGGGACTCAACTTGCCCATCCGAGTTCCATATCCACTCCTACGATAACCGCTATTGATAGTTGATAGAGCGGGTAAAATCATTTGGGATCCACCTCTCCTTCAGAATAGTGGTTCCGACTTAGTTAATATCGTAAGGCGTAGGAAGTGACTATGTGTCTCAATCCTATCTGGTTATCTCATGCCTACGGAGTGCTCCATGGATAAATTAATTAATCCTCATCGACCATTCCGCACTAACGTAGCTGCAGACTTTCAAACACCGGTGTCAATCAATTGATCATTAGAGGCTGTTAGCGTTAACCGTGATATGACAGGCTAGTAGTTGGCTAACTTTGTTCAGAGATTTTCTTCAGTATGCCTGTGTGAATCATAATTCCTGTATGTATTCTGCATCCTGTACAATAATTCTTCGTTCTCAGTATACATCAATTGCAAAGATTGTTTCAAAAAGCACGGGCACGCGATGAGTGTGACCATAGATTGAATTTGGTCCGGAGATTGCTACTAAGTGGGTACAGGCACTACAGACAGCACGGTGGATGTGGAAACGGACCCGGATCCGGTGAGTTAGTCTATTTTATGATCGGTCTGGTTATGGTCTAGTGAAGTATCAATGGTATGATTCTGGTTGTTGTTGGTATCGGGTAAGTAGATCAGTTGATTGTATCTGAAAATAAAAGGATGAATTTTTCTGCAGGATGTTCAATTCTCATATTTATTACTCAAGAGGTGTTGAACAGACATACTTTAGGTATAGATGGAACACCCGCCACTAGTCCAGCCCAGCCCAGCCCAAGAATTGGTCCCCGTCCGCTTTCTTCTCCGTCTCCGCTTACCGACGGTGATCGCTCCCCCGCATCTTGTTCCTCTCTGTGTGTGCCTCTCTCCATCAGTTATTATTATGGATTACTACCTACTAGTCTACTTACCCTCGGTTCGGAGGTGTAGCTCGCTTCCTCACTAAATCAGAAGGGTCCCCTCCCTATTCTTCCTCCTTCTCCTTCTCCTCACCACATCCCTCTTCTTCCCTGTCTCGTCACACACACTCAATTATCCCCTCTTTCTCTCTATTGGCTAGTCAGTCATTCTACCAATCCTCCAGTCATTCCTTAGAAATACTCAGTGATCTAGCACCCCCTTTGAATCAATCATGTCCTCCGCAAAAGATAGATTATCCGGCCTCTTAGGCCATCTTATCCCTTCCTCTTCTTCCGCATCATCTACACCCGATACCCAAGGACCCTCTACAGCGCTGCGGGAGAACAACAATAATAAAGTCAACTTCCACACACTTTCACCAGCGTATTTCCTGCAGCGATCAGCGGCGATTGAACCAGACGTTAGTTCTCCTCTTCTATATTGTCTGTCTACTGAATGAGTGCATTGTGGCTAATTGTCGTTTCGTTCGGTTTCGGTAGGCGGAAGCTATTTACCACATCACATCCGATGGTCAGGAACTACGACGAACCTATCTCGAGTTTGCGGACAGGGCAAGAGGGTTAGCGTACTTCTTGAAGAAACGCGGATTCAAGAGAGTCGGCATTCTGTGTCCCAATACGCCGGCTTTCTTAGAGTCAATTTTTGGGATTGGGGCTGCGGGGGCGGTAAACATCGGTGAGTCGATTATTGCTTTCTTATTTTGTGTTTCGAGTGTATTTTGCTTTTTTCCTTACAGAGGGGTTCTGATATCTGCTAGCTGTGAACTACCGACTTAAAGAAGATGACATCGCTTATATATTCACGCACTCGGAGGCGGAGGTGATCATTGTGGATAAGGAATTCCTGCCCTTGCTGCGTGTGTATAGGGAGGCGAAGCCGGAGACTCCCATTATTGTTGATACGGATACCGATACCGCGGAGGGTCAGTTGTCGGGTCCCTTTGATGAGGCGGTTTTGGAAGGTCTAAAGTACGATATTGCTACTGGGGATAAGGGCTGGGAGGGGCTGGAGAGTCAGGCTGGTTCGGAGGATGATGTTATTGCTTTGGCATATACGAGCGGGACGACGTCGCGGCCGAAGGGCGTTGAGTACACGAACCGGGGTGCCTATTTGGCGGCCCTTGGGAATGTAGTCGAGTCTGGGTTGAATGTGTTTAATGGCCGTTGCCGGTATTTGTGGATCTTGCCGATGTTTCATGCTGTTGGTGGGTGCTGTCGAGCTCAATTGCATGCCTGGATGATTACTGACTTGGTTCCCTAGGCTGGACGTTTCCATGGGCTGTTACTGCTGCGCGTGGTACGCACTATTGCTTGCGCAAGGTGGACTATGGGCAAATCTGGAAGTTATTCAAGACTGAGGGCATCACCCACTTTAATGCGGCCCCTACTGTGAACACGCTTCTTTGCAATCACCCGGATGCTGAGCGCCTTTCTACACCGGTTATCGTCCAGGTGGCGGGTAGTCCGCCTACGCCTCATCTGTTTGAGCAGATGACCAGTCTGAATTTGCGCCCCGTGCATGTCTACGGTATGACGGAGACGTATGGTCCTACTACGAGGTGCTATATGCTGCCCGCATGGGACCAATTACCGCGCGATGAGAAGTTCCGGAGGATGGCCAGACAAGGTCATGGTTTCCTAACCAGTCTGCCAACGCGTGTCATCAAGACGGACGTGCCTGAGGGTACCATTATCGACGTCAAGCGAGACGGCAAAGAAATCGGCGAGATTGCGTTTGTTGGAAATATCTGTGCTCAGGGGTATTACAAAGATGCCGAGGCGACGCGGAAGCTCTTTGCTGGTGGCGTTCTTCATTCCGGCGACCTGGCTGTCTGGCATCCCGATGGAGCGATCCAGATCCTGGACCGAGCCAAAGATATTATCATCAGCGGTATGGAGACCCCTTAACTATTGTCGCAGCCTTTGTAAAGTCCGGGCGGTGCATGCTAACGTCGTACAGGAGGCGAAAACATATCGTCTGTCGCACTGGAATCCATGCTGGTGACTCACCCGGACATTTTGGAGGTGGGTGTGGTGGCGGTGCCTGACACACATTGGGGAGAGCGACCCAAGGCGTTTGTAACCACGAAGCAAGGCCGGCACCTGGAGGGGAAGGAGGTGATTGACTGGGCCCGGAACCAAAGTCAAATCAGCAAGTTCATGCTTCCGCGGGAGGTGGAGGTGGTGGCGGAACTGCCCAAGACAAGTACGGGGAAAATTAGGAAGAATGTTCTCCGGGACTGGGCGAAAGGGACACCACGATGAACCTGAGAGGGTTGGGTGTACCAGGAGGGGTGGGGGGCAGCACTGTGGTGTGATATAGAATAGAGTGTGCGTGGGTGGTTATTTATAGGGCTACATGTAAGTGACGTTGTTATAGACCGGGAGGGGGCTCGTGTCACGGTCCATGTACTCTTCATCCAATGTTCTTGGATAGCATAGACAAATGGATTGTTTTTGATTCGGACTTGTTTTGTTCTGGGACTGAACTTCGGACTTTAACGGCTCTGGAGAAAGTACCTTTTCGAACGAGGCTAACAGGTGCTTTTGGAGCGACTTGAAGATGAAGCGGAGCGCACGGACATCCCCGGGGTCTCGGTGATGCCCTGAAGAGGAGAGTTAGACAACAGTCGCATTGTTTGGGCGACCGACAACAATGGAACCGGGTATGCAAGTAATGCTCGATGAATGGGTTAGGCTACTCAAAATGGATAGTTGACACAGACAAGCACATAACAAAGCACATGAATGCGTGGATGGTACTTTGTAGCAGTTGTGCTGTCCTCGGGCGCATCATAGGCAGACATACTTACTATGCTCCCTCTCTCTTCACCATCCAGCCAGCATCCAGGCCTCGAATCAAGCAACCCAGTCCATTGTCTGTGCACGGGGCAGGGCGTCAAAGGGAATGCCTCAATTAAATCATCCATTCAGCAACCGGATCTCGCCATTTATTTATTTTTATTTTAATTCATCTTCCAGCCACCGGGGAAAGTCAAGATCGGGCAGTGCTGGTTGCTGCTGGGCTTACCTCACCAGGCACACGGTGGGCTGCCGACCGGGCAAGAAGTTCCCCCTCTCTTCCTCTCACTCTTCTTTCACTTTCACATCGTCACACCCGCCCATGCGATAGTTACCCGCCCTGCTTTCGCTGCATCCTTCCCTCCCTCCCTCTCTCTCTCCCCTCTTCCTCCTCTGGCTGAACGCTCAACTACCCTCACAAGCCTCTCTCTTTACCCTTAACATTTCACTTTTCCTACCGATTCTCTACAAATTCCCCCCAGCTTGCCTCTTCACGACTAGCGCCTTCTCTTGCTCCCCTCGCATGCCCTTCCGACGCCGGGACTCCTCCACACCCCTCCTCTCCTCTCCCTTCCTTGCCTTCCGCTCGCCTCCTCCCCCAGCTGCAACTGCTGCAGGCACGCCCGACGCGCGTTCTCCTTTATAAGCGCCCTTAATCCGCTGTCCGCTCAAGTGGAACTCGTTTCTCCTCCGCTGACTTGGGCCTTATTGGACATCGACCCTTTTCCTCATCCCTCACGACCGGCCTCGATCTCAGGAACCACCGCTCGTACACTGCAGACCACCCTTCCCTCCCGGTTGGATCCACTCGCATCGGACCCAACGCGCATCTCGATAGCTCGCTCGCTCGCTCTCTCTGTGTGTGTGACGACAGTCGATGAGACACATTCCATGCCGATCAGCCTTCCATATCCACGGTGAGCGAAACCAGGACGCAACTGAGCACGACCAGGGCTCCGTTCCCGCACACTTGATCCCCATCCCGACGGCGGTCCCGATGCCCCGCCAAAGGCAACCCGCTCGGTTCTCGAGCGAAGCTCCCTCCGAATCTTCGACCTCGTCGACGTCCCCGGATCGCACCGCGGACGAAGATACCGACTTCTTCACAGCCCAGGCAAATGACTCGCAATCGTCGGTCGGCGTCGCGACCCGTGACGCCCATCCCCACCATGACACCGACTTGGACCTGCCGCCGATCGGGCGTCTACCCCCGGAGATTCTCATCGCCATCTTCGCGAAATTGTCCTCGCCCTCCGACATGTTGAGCTGCATGCGCGTATGCAGGGGATGGGCGGCGAACTGCGTGGGCATCCTCTGGCACCGGCCCTCGTGCAACAACTGGGACAACATGAAGAGCATCACAGCCTCAGTGGGCAAATCAGACAGCTTCTTTCCGTACTCGCAGCTGATCCGGAGACTCAACCTCTCTGCGCTAACGGACGACGTCAGCGATGGCACTGTCGTGCCCTTTGCCCAGTGCAACCGCATCGAGCGTCTCACGTTGACCAACTGCTCGAAACTCACGGACAAGGGTGTATCGGACTTGGTGGAAGGCAATCGGCATCTGCAGGCTTTGGATGTCTCTGATCTGCGGCATCTTACGGATCATACCTTGTACACGATAGCTCGGAACTGTGCGCGGCTACAGGGCCTCAATATTACGGGATGCGTCAATGTAACGGACGACTCGTTAATTACGGTGTCTCGGAATTGTCGACAAATTAAAAGGGTAGGCGCTTGTGCCGGTGCATCTGTACCATGTATTTGGGAGACTCGACTAACCCATCGCAGTTGAAATTGAATGGTGTAACGCAGGTCACCGACAAGGCCATCATGTCGTTCGCCCAGAGTTGCCCGGCCATCCTGGAGATTGACCTGCATGACTGTAAGCTTGTCACCAACCCGTCGGTGACCTCGCTCATGACGACGCTCCAAAACCTGCGCGAGCTGCGACTAGCCCATTGTACAGAAATTGACGACACGGCTTTCCTCGAGCTGCCCCGGCAGCTGTCGATGGACAGTCTTCGCATCCTCGACCTGACGTCATGCGAGAGCGTCCGGGACGATGCCGTTGAGCGCATCGTGGCTGCAGCCCCGCGTCTACGAAATCTGGTACTGGCCAAGTGTCGGTTCATCACCGATCGTGCGGTCTGGGCCATTTGCCGCCTCGGCAAGAATCTACACTATGTCCACTTGGGCCACTGCTCCAACATCACCGATGCCGCAGTGATCCAGCTGGTCAAATCCTGCAACCGCATCCGGTATATCGATTTGGCCTGCTGCATTCGTTTGACGGACACGAGCGTGCAGCAGCTGGCCACGTTGCCCAAGCTGCGGCGAATTGGCTTGGTCAAATGCCAGAATATCACGGACAATAGCATTCGCGCCTTGGCAGGATCCAAGGCGGCCCACCATTCGGGGGGAGTCAGTAGCTTGGAGCGGGTGCATCTGAGTTACTGCGTTCGCCTGACGATTGAGGTACGTTTTGGAGGGATAATCTACGTGGCAATCCATAGTATGCTGACTAGCGCACAGGGAATCCATGCTTTATTGAATAGTTGTCCGCGACTGACACATCTGAGTCTGACGGGCGTCCAGGCCTTCCTGCGGGAAGAGCTGACGGTCTTCTGCCGCGAGGCACCTTCCGAGTTCACGCATCAACAACGGGAGGTGTTCTGCGTGTTCAGCGGCGAGGGCGTCAACCGTCTGCGCGATTTCCTGAACCGCATCATTCCGCCTCCTCCGCCGACGCGGGACATGACCGAGGCCACAATGTATGATGATGATGAAGAGCTAGAGGACGAGGAAAACCAGGTGACGGGCTTGATGCATGCGACCGCCGCGACGGCCATTCATGACGACGACTACATTGACATTGGACATACCCATGGTTGATACCCCGCCTTCTTACAGCGAGTCTATTCACATCGGAGCCTATCGTTTTACACTTGCTTACTTATATTCGTTTGCGGCCTGTGTTGTACTTATGCTCGTTCTTTTCCTGGAGGGTTGGTACACCCTCCGGGCTGTTGCAATGACTATTCGGAAATTTGCATCGGAATGCGGCTCACGGGGAGCTGCCTTCTGGGAAGAGGGAGGCTGTGGTTTTTTTTCTCTTTGCTTTCTTTCTCATTCGTTTGGGACGAACATCTCTGTGGATCTTTCTTTTTTCCGGAAGAATATATACCAGGCGATGGCATGGTGCCGTAGAGAATCAATCCTCAGTGTGTGTGTATGTGTGGAGTATGAGGGAAAGAGAAAGGGAGAGGTTAGATAGAGTACCTATTGTTATCTGCAAAGGATGGCAGAGCGACCATGTGCATGGACGGAGTTTTAGCTAGCAGCATTTGAATACAAGCATCGGCTTATTTTTATGATATTTTATCTCCGAGTATACACTAGTTTATACACTTGGGAGGAAGTAACTTTATGGTACAACGTCACTTTCCCCACCGCCTTCCCGCCCACTTGATCATCAATCAATCGGCGTCTCCTCACTTCCTCCGCATCGCTGCTCCAACACCAACCCAGCATTCCTGCAGTGTTGCACTCCTCCGATGGCTCCTCTCAGGCTATCGCGAGCCAATCCACTGGCCTTCACCCGCTGGCCCGTCACCCTGATCACCGCCGTCGTCTATCTCGCCTTCCTCATCCCACTGCTTATCGTGCATCATGTCGTCCCCTCGCCTCCAACCGCCAACCCCAATGGTCTCGACCTCACCCAAGCCTGGGCCGATCTCCAAGTCCTAACCGACGGCTTCCACCCCTACAACTCCCGTCGCAACGACGAAGTCCACACCTGGCTCCTGCAACGCATCCACGAGATCCTCGACGCCGCGCCCCCCGCCGACCAGTACCTCTCCGTCGATGAGGAGAAGCCGAAACCCGCCGTCTTCGTCTTCGACGATACGCAATCCAACCTCTCCTTCGTCGGCAACTCCCTGTCAAGCTCCAACACCGCCGTTTACTTCGAGGGCACCAACATCCTCGTCTACATCCGCGGATCGGACGATGATCCCGAGAACTGGTGGGAGGAACCCAACGGTGTGCCCTCCGGCAAGGGCGGCGTGCTGGTCAACGCCCACTACGATAGCGTCTCGACGGGATACGGCGCCACCGATGATGGTGTCGGTGTTGTGACTTGCTTGCAGCTGATTCAGTACTTCATGACGCCGGGCCATGCGCCGCGGAGGGGCTTGGTCGTGCTGCTGAATAACGGTGAGGAGGATTATCTGAATGGTGCGCGCGTGTACGGCCAGCATCCGATCGCCAAGTTTCCGCATACCTTTCTCAATCTGGAGGGTGCTGGGGCTGGCGGTCGTGCTATCCTCTTTCGCAGCTCCGATACCGAGGTCACCCGTCCGTATATGAGTTCTAAGTACCCGTTTGGATCGGTGTTGGCGGCGGATGGCTTCGCTACGGGTCTCATTGGTAGTCAGACCGATTATGTGGTGTTTGAGGGGGATTTGGGGCTGCGGGGACTGGATGTTGCGTTTATGGAGCCGAGGGCTAGGTATCATACTGAGCAGGATGATTCGAGGCATACGAGTAAGAGCTCCCTGTGGCATATGTTGTCTGCGGCGGTTGCGACTACCGAGGGGCTGGTCTCGGATAAGAGCGATCAGTTTGAGGGCGCGCCGACGGATGATGCAAAGGTTGCGAGTGGGTCGGGGTCGAAGGCTGTGTGGTTCGATCTGTTTGGGACTACTTTCGTTTTGTTTGAGTTGCATACGCTCTTTGCGCTGTCGGTGACGCTGCTTGTTGTTGCGCCGCTGGCTTTGCTGGTGACGGGCATTGCGCTCACCCGCGCGGACAAGATGTATCTGTTTAGGACGTCTGCGAAGGCGGATGAGAGCCTGGACTCGGTTCCTCTGCAGGGTCTACGGGGTTTCTTCCGATTTCCGTTCCTGTTTGCGATCCCTACGGCGGTCACTGTTGGTTTGGCGTATCTGGTGACCAAGGTTAACCCGCTGATCATCCACAGCAGCGAGTACGCCGTCTGGAGTATGATGCTGTCTGCCTGGACCTTTTTGGCATGGTTTGTCTCGCGGATGGCTGACTTTGCTCGCCCGACTGCGCTGCACCGCATTTACACCCTGACCTGGATGTTCGTGCTTGCCTGGGTGCTCCTCGTCATCTCCACCGTTTACCAGAACCAACGGGGCCTGGCCGGCAGCTACTCGGTCTTCTTCTTCTTTTCCGGCACCTTCCTCGCGACCTGGATCTCCTACCTAGAGCTCTTCTCCTTGCCGCGAAAGTCAGAGTACGCGAACCAAAACCGGCCGACGTCTCGCCGGGCCAGCAGCTACGGCGGCAGTCGGCTAGGCACAGCGTCAGGCGAAGACCACGAGGAAGACGACCACGACGCCGAAGAGGAAGAGGAGGAGCAGGAGCCCACTGAATCGACCTCCCTGCTCGGAGGCGGCCAGCGCACCACCTTCGCCAACTACGTCCGCGTCTCCGGCGACCATCGCGACTCCGACACCGACCACCACTACTACCCAGGCGTCTACAAGCACGAGCAACGCTGGAGCGCCTCGCTCCCAACCTGGACCTGGACACTGCAATTCCTCCTCATGGCCCCCCTAGTCCTCATCATGGTCGGGCCTCTCGCCCTCCTCCTCACCAGCGCCCTCCACCAAACCGGCCAAGACGGCAGCTCCTCCCTATTCATCTACGTCGCCATCGCAGCCCTAACCACATTCCTCCTCACGCCTCTCCTCCCCTTCATCCACCGCCACACCTACCACCTCCCTGTCTTTCTCCTGCTCGTCTTCCTCGGCACCCTAATCTACAACCTCGTCGCCTTCCCCTTCTCCCCAACCAACCGCCTCAAACTCTTCTTCATCCAAGACATCGACCTCTCCACCGGCTCCACCACCGCCTCCCTCGCCGGCGTCCAACCCTACGTCCACGCCGCCGCATCCACCCTCCCCAGCACCGCCAACCAAAACATCACCTGCACCGAACACACCACCCGCGGCACCAAATGCGCCTGGCCGGGCCTCGCCCCGCGCGTTGTCCCAGACACGCCATACTCCGACTGGCTCGACTTCACCATCTCCCAGCAACACAACACCACCGATGACAAAGATGGAGATGAAGATACCCACCACCCAAGGAAAGCCCGTATCACATTATCAGGCCGCAACACCCGCGCCTGCAAACTCCTCTTCGACTCGCCTATCTCTTCTTTCGCCGTCCTCGGCTCATCCACCGACCCCCGCTTCCCGACTTCTTCTCCCCACGGCACGAAAGAAATCCGCCTGTGGAGTAGAGAGTGGGAGAATGAGTGGGTCGTGGATGTTGCTTGGACTACCTCTACGAATGATGATAGTGAAGAAGGAGAAGAAGGAGAAGGAAAGTTGAATGGGAAAGCAGTCTGTCTCTGGAGTGACAACAACTCGGCGGGCGTTATCCCGGCTCTAGATGAAGTGAGGCAGTTTGCGCCGTCTTGGGTGGCGGTTAGTAAGGCTGCGGATGGGTTGGTGGAGGGGTGGAAGGGGTTTAGCATCTGAGTCCTTTTCTAAATAATGAGAAGGGGGGGTGGGTACCTGTTTCTTTATCTGCGTGTATGCGTGTGTGTTCTTGTATTTGTTTGTTTGTTGTTTGTTTGTTCTTGTCATTGTGATTGTTGTTGTTGTTGTTTGCCTAGCTGGCTAGCTTACTTCGTTCTATTGAGCTATTGATTATTTGTGTTGTTTTTGAGGCGATGAGTTCCATGTGTTGCACCCAATGAGACAATATCTCATTCACCATTATTATTATGTCTCGGCCCTACACTGCTACGATGTATTGGCGTTACGTTACTACCACTTCATCTCATCATCACATCACTACATGTATAAAACCCAGTATGGCATGTAGCAATACAGGTATAATACATTAACTGCGAGCGAATCTGGGTGATAAAAAGTAGTGAACTAGGATACAGGTGTCTGTTAAAGGTAGATGTAGGTAGTAGACAAGAGGTAAAAAAAAAAAAAAAAAAAAAAAAAAAAAAAAAAAAAAAAAAAAAGAGAGAAAAGAAAACAAAATAACAAATCTATCTTCAGTTCAAGGCCGTCCGTCCGTCCAAGTAATAAGAAAAGGTTATCTCGTAGCACTCCGAATCATTCGTTCAATCAATGAGTTAGGTCTTGATAAAAAGAAAAAAGAAACACAGGAGTAAGAATGGTAAATAACACAGTAGGTAAAAAAAAACCAAAAGTCAACTCCTCGCCGGCTTCCCTAGTAAGTAGTTTAACACAACACCGTAATAGATGGATGGATAGAATAGTAGGAAAGGAGAGAGAGGTCCTGAACGCCTGTTTTCTTTCTTTTGGTACATGGATGTGTGTGGGGAGGATGATGGAGGGGATGATGTAGGTAATCCTAGCGCTGCTTGTTGCAGATGCTAGGGGATTGTAATGCCCTGAATAGGGAGGGCGGTTGGGGAGTTGATCATGACTTCATTGTGGCCAGGAACGAGTCCAGGTTGTATTCTTCCTGGTATTGGCGGTCGTCCCAGAGCTCGCCGAGGTCGTCTAGCCAGCCCTTCTTGCCCTTTTCTTTGACTTCGCCGTCGATGTCGACCATGTCTACTTCGTTGCCGGCCTGCTCGTTGGGTTTCTCGGCGTTGTCGGCTGTTTCTCCGAGGTTGAAGAGATCCAGGAGTTGGTCGGTGTCCATTGTATTCAGGCCTGCGTTTTGTTGGTTGACCACTGTGGAGGCGACGTCGATCTTGAATCGTTGGAGACTAGAAAGTGGTTAGTAATGGCAAAATCAATCAATTAATGTAGGATCAACTTACTTCAAGATCTTCTCCTCCAGAGTACCGCGTGTGATCAACCGGTACACGTTGACAACCTTCTTCTGACCGATACGGTGAGCACGGTCCATGGCTTGGATATCCTTCTGCGGGTTCCAGTCGTGCTCCACGAAGATAACGGTGTCGGCTCCCGTAAGGTTCAGACCCAAACCACCGACGCTGGTCGTCAAGAGCAGGACATCGTAGCTAGGATCCGAGTTAAAGCGGTTGACAATGTCCTGACGCTTAGTAGCCTCCACGCCACCGTCAAGGCGGAGATACTGAACCGAGGGGAGAAGCTTGCGCAACACCTCGCTTTGCACGATGTCGAGCATCTCCTTCATTTGGCAGAACACTAGGGCTCGGTGTGGGCTCACGTAGCTTGCCCCGGTGCCGAGATCACCTTCAGTGGGTGGGTCGACACCGATGCCACAGTCGAGTAGCAGGTCGCGTAGAGCGCTGAGCTTCGGCGCATGGGACACATCGCGGATATGGGACTGTTTCGTGGTGAGGTATTGCTGGACCTCGTTGTACTGCTTGTGTCCCTCTTTCACGACCAGCGCAGGTGAGTTGCAAAGACGGCGCATGTATTGAAGTGCTTGGAAGATGTGCTCTTTGTCGGATTTCTCAGAGCTACCCAGCTTGTTTGCCAACTCCTTCTGCTCCTTCTTGGTAAAGTCCTCGAAAAGTCTCTTTTGGAGGTCACTAGGGTCACAGTAGTAGTTCTGAATGATCTTAGGTGGCAGATCGTTCAGAACCTCCTCCTTCAGGCGACGAAGCAAGAACGGGAGCACCTGCTTGTGCAAGGCCTCAATAGCAAGAGCGCCGGCCTCTTGTTCCTTGGAAGACGACTTGCTGAAGCGACTAGCCGCGATGGGCTTGGCGAATCGATCCAAGAAGACCTTCTCTGTACCAAGGAATCCGGGCATAAGGAAATCGAAGAGCGACCAGAGTTCCAGGACATTGTTTTGAATCGGGGTACCAGAGAGGATCAGCCGGTGGTTGCTGGCAATCCGCTTAACCGCGACGGTGACCTTGGCCTTGGGGTTTTTGATGAGGTGTCCTTCATCCAACACGCAGTAGTTCCAACTGATCGGTCGAAGAACGTCATTGTCGTTCCGGCAGATGTCGTAAGAAGTCACAACGATATCGGCATCTGCCAAGTTGGCCTGCAGCTTTGCGCGTTCTACCGGAGGACCAACATAAGCGACGCAGTTCAGGAACGGGGCGTATTGTTTAACCTCCTGCTGCCAGTGACCGGAAAGAGACGGGGGGCAGACGATCAAAGACGGAAGCTTCCGAACCTCCGCTGATTGGGTCCGCGCATACTCCTCCGCACGGAGATGATGGTCACTTGCGACAATGCAGATTGTCTGCAGAGTCTTACCAAGACCCATGTCATCACAAAGAATACCATGCAGGTTGTAACGGTTGAGGAAAGCAAGCCAGTTAACACCCTCTTGCTGATAGGGCCGAAGCTCAGCCTTGATTGCGACTGGCAGCTGAAACTCTTCTACCTTGCGGACATCCAGCATCTGAGACATGAACTTCCTTTCCCGGTCTCGTCCCTTGAGCAACTCCTCAGATAGGCCTGGCGGATCGGGAATGCCAGCTTCCAGGGGAACAAGCTTTACCAACGTGGCAAAAGAGGTTGTAGCCAAGAGGCGCACGTCATTATCCGAGTCGCTCATCCGCCCCAAAACCGGCACCACGAGGAAGATGACATACGGAAGGATTCCGTCCTCCATCACATGGATCAGGTGGTAGATGCACTCCACAGCTCCCTGGCGGTGGTGAACATCCAAAGGATCATTAATGGTCGGCAGTACCTTCTCGACCAACATGGTCATACCCTCAACAGTAATGACACTGCAGACGGTTGCAAAGCACTTGGCGGCGGCATATCGAATGACTGAAAGCCGGCACTGCAGAGCCTTGACAATGAGAGGCATGAGCCCGATAATCCAAGGATGGAGACCCTTATCGAACTTCGGCAGCAGAGCGCGCAGTGTTGACAGGCCATCCACAACCTCCTGGCCCAACTCGTTGTCAGGGTTGAGGATATCTTGGGGAAGATCGCTGGAAAGAGCCTCTTTTAGTGGCCGCTCTACCAAGATTGCAAGGTTGGGAACCTTCTCCAGAAGCTGGGATCCGAACTTGACAGCCAATTGCTCGAGGGCTTCCTTGGCACCACGGCGCATGATTCTCGCCTCCTTCGCCTCTTTCTCGAACTTCGCTGCATCCGGATGGTCGCGCCTGTCCTCTTCCTTGCGCAGAGACAGGATGGACTTCTCCAGAGTCGCGTTATGGTGAAACTCGGGCGTCTCAGAAGTGTCCACACAGCAATACTTGACCAGATTGCCAATGACTTTGTCGACGGGGCCTCGTTTGGTAGCAGTGGTGTAATATTCAACCAGAAAAGCAATCGCTGTGGCAGAGCGCTGTTGCAGTTCCGCATTCTCTTCCTTCTTGATGCTATCCATCATGCCCTTGATAATATGGCTTGGCTTCTTGGGAATGTCGTGCAATGCCACCAACGCACCCGCGGCGGCAGCCCGCACACGCAGATCCCTTTGCTCCCGGACACTTCTCGCTTCCTCAATGGCGCTTTCTGCGGTCGCACGGGTGTCATTCAAAACTTGGAGAGCGGTGATACGCTGGGCTGGGGCCAGACCCTTCTTCAGCCGCTCAAAATCGGGCCCAGCAACCTTTTCGGCGTCGGCAAGAGAGAACGCACTGGGCCCGGCCTGTTCTTCTCCTTGGACAACGACCGCCAGAGTGGGTAGTCGAGATCCAGGAACATGAGCGTGGTCTTTGAACGCATAGAGTAGCGAGTGGCACTGTGCGCGGGCGACCTGTAGGTAGCATGCAATGTCGCTGTACCACAAGGGGCGTTCGCCTTCGATGATTGGCCGTAATTGCTCAGTCAAAGTGGAAGCGTACTTGCTGCCAGGTCCAGAGATCCTAGCGTACTCCTCCACTATCATGGCTGTCGACAATTGTGACGTTGACGCCGTATGCCTGAGACCCGCCAAGATGGTCTGCCACAGACTAGGAAGTTCATTCTTATCCCAGAGGAAGAGCAACTTGCCAAGTGCTCTGGCCGCGTAGATCTTCGATCTCAGCATTGTATCTGCGCCAACCAGATCAATATCTCCCTGGAGCATGTGCCCATCTACATTATGAGCTGAAGGCGGCGGCGCTTCTTTCTTTTCCGCTTTCCGCCCACGCTTCTTCGGTCCATCGGTAGCGGCATTGTTCGAACTGGGCGAGGATTTTGCGGGAGCCGCGGCGCTATTTGGGAAAGGCACCCCAGATGGCTTGATGAAGAGTGAGGCGTCCATAGGAAGAGGATATCTCGGGACACCGAATGGCGACATTGTGAGGGTGATGAGCGGTTCGATGTAGCTCAGGAGGTCGCCCTCAGCCTTGAACAACCCCCGAGATTCCAAAGAATTCAACAGTTCCGACCACACCTGAAGCGAAAGCTTAAGCACCCCTTCATTTCGTTCCACCAACAAGTTCTGAAAGATCAAGCGCAGTGCTTTTCCATTCACCCATTCGTTGGTACCTTCACCCTCCAGCTGCAGGAAGGTCATCAGGGCACGAAGGACTGCCGAGCGAACGCTGGTGATCGTATGGCGCAAGAACGGGTAGAGACGAGGCACAAGGTTTCCAAACGACGAGTCTGGATCAACAGCCGCGTTCGCCTTCATGGCATCCAGGACCTCGCGGAAGGTACACAGCTTCGCCAAAAGATCCATGACTGAGCCGGTACTGGCACTTAGGTCGTCCTGTAGATTTGAAAGACAGTCCCAAACAATGTTCATGAGGCTTCCTAGCGTGGACTGCCTGGACGCGACAAACTCCTCCGCCATGGGAACAAGCGTCGCCGCACTCACGGCACGAACATCGTCGTCATAGTCACCCAGCCCTTTCATTACCGCCTCTAATACACCATCCATCAAACTCCGATCCTTGATCAGAATGTCTTTCCGAACAGCCACCAGATACCTCAGCCCGATCATGCCACCGTGACACACCTCCCAAATGGGACGCTCTAAGCCCAGGTCATTCTGCATGACGATCCGGTAGAGGCACTTGTAAACAGCCACTACGGACCGAGAGGGGAGCTGTGACAGAAGGGCACCCAACGTCTGACCCACTGTTTCTCGGATGGGAGCCACGACATTGTCGGAGATGTAGTCACCGAAACGGTCGAGCATCAGGACACAGAGAAGACGACAAGCCAGATCATCCAGCCATTTACGGTTTAGCACATCATTCTCTGGCCTGCTTTTGCCTCGTAAGCGCCCAGCTCCAGCACCCTGAACACGGATGACCTCTCGAAGGGCCATCGCAGCCCCATGACGAACCTCCCAGTTAGGATCAAAAATGTCCATCGTGAGGATTTCGCACATAGGATCATACGGCCACGAATTGCTAGGCCCTTCATCTGGAGTTTCCGGCTGGATAAAGGGCTTTTCGGGGGCGGTTGACCCTTTGAATTCCGAGACGATCTTCTGGTCGTCGTCGCCTGACGACCTTTCCAGGGAGAAATAGTCTTGCTTCGAGTCGCCATTCTTCTCTTCGCCATTTTCTGCCTTGATGGGGTGAGGGGTCGTAGCCGATGGGGTGGTGACATTATCCGAGGGCCTCCGCGTCGACAAATCCACGACACGGACCTTGTTAGCTCCCATTCTCGCGCTCTGCTTGTTTTTCCGCTTGAGCTGGTTCAATTGCCGCTTACTCAACCCAGCCTCTTCTCCGTTAGCACTTTCCATGGGAGATGCCAGCGGTGGCGCAGAGTTGTGGTGGTTCGTTTCTTTATGAGGGGCCTCATCCTTGATACCGGGTGTCTTCAACACGAGATCATTGTCGTCGATCAAGTCCTCCTCGATATACTCCCCGGCCAGTCCTAGACGGGAGGTCAAAGTCTTCTTTTGATGCTGCAACCGGGAGACCGGATCCATCGCGGCTAGCGAATACTCATACTCCTTACCCGCACTACCCAGTAGCCGCTTGCCGTACTTGAGGATCGAAGCCAAGTCCAGGGTCTCGAGCTGGAGGAGGGAATCGCTGGGGGAAGAGGGTTGCTCTTCCTCCGACTTGATCTCTACATCATCCTCGTCGAGCTTCTTAATCGTTTCACCATCTTCCTCATTGGGATCGAAGGTGTCGGCATTAGCCACGATCAAACCAATCGCCTTAGCGGCGGCTGTTCGGGTGTCCCATGACTTGGACTTGAGATAGGGCAAAATGCGCCCGAGCAGGTTGAACAGCTCATCAGGATGCTGTTTCTGAACATCTGCAAGCTGCTGGGCTGCTGTGTTCCGGATGAGAGGTGTGCTGCCCGTCTCGAGTAACCTATAGAGGAAATCATTGGTCAGTGCATTCATCCCGGCTGCGGGCTGCTGGCGTGGTAATACTCACGTGACGAGCCGGTCGAGTCTAGTGCGGCGCAGTTAGCGTCATGTACCAAACGGATGCGGAATGGGCGGGACGGCAGATGGAAACTTACCTGGAGGACATGGCTGGCTGGCTGTCACTCCTCGGAACTTTGAGGAACGAATTATTTCACAAATAAAATAGTTCAAAATCCGCAAGGGAAAGGGGTATCAGCAGAGAATAACATAAAACGAAAATGTATAACGTGGTCGCAAATGATCCACAAGATTAGAAGATAAGTAATTCACCACACCCCCACGACACCTCTCTAGAATTATTAGGTATGGTAAGGTATGGTAAAGAAGAGGGAGTAGTAAGGGAAGAGAGGAGAGGAGTGAGAGGAGAGTAAAGTGGGCGAAAGAGGTAAGGTATGTAAAATATACAAGACCGTTACACCCACGTCACAGCCATCGAGAAGCGTCGAAGCGTGACTAATTAAGCAGAGCTGGACAGTTTCTGAAGGGCGATCGGGAAACAGAAGTGGAGATCACGGCTTAGTAGAAGAAACGCGGGTATTGTATTGCTGATCGGGGGAAGGGCGGTTTGGACGTGACGCGGACCAGGGCGATATTACTTTTTAAGTATGGTCAAGTAATGAATCATAAAACAAGTCACGAAGGGAAAATGCCGGGATGGGCAAACGGGAAGCGACAATGAAAATCGCGAATGACCAGCAGATGAATGGAATCGGATCGACAGGGAGTGAAGGGGGTGGTGCGTTGCTGGAATGGAGGTGGTGGTGGTGGTGGTGAACGGGAGCAAGCCTTGTCTGGCCTGCAAAGTAAATGCGCAGGAGTATCAACAAGTCGTCCTCCGGTCCTGCTTTGCCTCCCCTCGAGGTCACGCAGCCTGTTTATATCATTGGGGGCATCTTTGGCTGGGCGCGCCTACCCATACTTGGGCCCTGCGCGCTAGCCTGCCTCGGGGTTAGCGCCCCCCACTCCCGTAAAGGTTTTCTACTAGTCACGTGATTCCTCCCTGCGCCAAACCGCCGCTTGGATCGACAGGCGCGAAATTGCTGCGCTGCGATTTCTTTCCATCTGGAGTCCGTCCCCCCCAGCTGTCTTGTCTGTTCTGCCCATGAGGCTGACCGGCCAGTTTGATCCACGGAATTTTGCGCCGCCCGGGATACCCTGGCGGCTGAACTCGCCAGCTCTAACCCTCCTGTCCTCTCAGCTTCTTCCCATTATTTTCTTACTCCGATTGATGAGTAGCACGCAGCACACAGCACAGCTGAGGTTACCTCCATTCGTGTGCGCAATGTAAAATACAAAAGATAAAAAATAGAAAAAACACTACTCCATACTTGTAGCGGTAATTCCCTTGTCTTTCCTCGAACGCCGTCGGCCTACGCATTACCTACGTGGTACTACTAGATAGCTACTAGTTCGTTAGCAGCAAGATAAAAGTACCTTCTCATCAAGTCCGCCATGCGAGCTTGTTTCGATCGCTCACCAACAGCGCCAAGAAATGCCAGATGGCCTCCTTCAGTTTCGGAATCCGGTCGTCCCCCAAACCAGTGTTTCTCACTCGGCGGTGATTCCCTCTCCTCTTGCTGTGACAAGGTTCTTGACAGTTACCTGAATGCTGGTAACTCCGTAGTTACCAACCAACCAACTACTACTTACTAGTTCAATTCTTCCCAAGCTGTCATTTGGCGCGAAGATGACGTTGGTCAATCCCGCCAATCAGATAGTCCGTATTTCAAGTGCAACCTATTGAGAAAAATATAGATCACATACTACTAGTCCTACCACTACTTCACGTCTAGACGCGAACTATTCACTCCGACAGTCTATCCAACCTTTGTTGATCCTAGTCAATGGCAGGTTATTGTTTCATTCAATCAATAAACTATTGTCATCCAAACTTGAAAATAACGTGACCTAGTAGTGGTATTGAGTTTTGGTTTCATGGCGGCATGTAGATCCTGAGGCCGAAATATATAGTCAGTGTTCGCTACTATATATCCCCGCATATGTTGCCAGCGGTTTCACCATGACCTTGGAAACACCACCAGAACTTACACCCTTTCCCTCACATTTCAATCAACAGATTTGCCAAAAATTACTAAATGAAGCCGCTGTTGGAGCTACACTACTACCAGTAGCTATCATTTGCAAAGCATCGGAAGCTGGGGTGGAACTCTGCTGCTCCCAAACCACCGATACCTGTCACGTCCTACAGGGCTTACTCGACCGATCAGATATCCGACCCTGCATCATATCGCAGCAAGGACCCCAAAATTGATCAATGAAACTGTCCATTTCTATACATCGAAGGACTCCACAGGGGTAAATAGGAAAAACAGCATAGCTTTAGTGACAATGGAAAAAATCAATACGTATTCGCACCAGATATGCGCATATCATCCCTCAAGCCTTGGCCAAAAATGCCGCTGCTTCCTCCTCTTTCCCTAGCAGTCCCAGACTGCGAATCTGTTCCGCCTTGGGCGCGTTTTCACGGGGGGTTGCGGCCTCAGCCTTGCGGTAGGCGGCCTGCATCTTCATCGTGCGGAGAGCCTATGCGTCGAAGAGGGCATTGTTAGCAAGCCGATCCGAAAATTTGAGCACGAACATGATCGCATAAGGATAGACAGATAGGCGTACCTCCTTCTTGTGGTGCAGGCACTCGTAGTAATCCTCCAGAGCGGGCACGCACTTCTTCTTGCCAGCTTCACCCTCTCCACCATTGACGACGTAGCAACCGAGAACCTCCTGCCAGAAGTTGTAGCAGCGGGAAGGACCTGCACAGAGCGATTGAGATTAGCCGGGAATGTCCGCGGGAGAGTGACACGGCGGGCGCCCAGTGTAGGCCAACCCGGGAATTCTGGCCGTCAATGAACCTTGACAGCAAAGAATAGATAGACGTACCGCCGTTGTTACCGAAGCCGGAAGCCATTGTGAGTGAGTGTGGTGGGTAAGGACGGGGGGAGCGAGACGAGGGGATTAGGATTGCGAGGGAGCGGAGGTGAGGATCGCGATTGAGGTTCTTCTTCCCTCGCCGATGATTCGCCTGTTCCGCCTTCCGCCCCGGCCCTGGCCCGTGCACCTGACGTCTTTGTGTCTCCCGAACACATCACCCTCTTCCATCATGCTCTCTCTGCTGCTCCCCGTTCAGACGTCATGGCGGTCCTTCAGGGGCTCTCAGGTGCTCATGCGATTCTTCTAGCGACTCATCTCTGTGCCACCGGCAATGTGGTTGCTCTCCCGCACTTGCAGGCAAAGTTCCCTGCCCATCTCCCGCTCGAGCGTGTCTTGCGCATCATCTTGACCTTTCTGCCCGAGAGCACAAAGCCGAGCTCTTACACACCAGTGCTGCAGGCGCTGGTAGATGGCCAACTACCTGAAGCCGGTGGTGCTGGCATCGATACCACCTCTGTTAAAGACCTGCCCGCGGCGATCGTGAGGAAACGTGTACGGAAGATTCGTTTACTACCATTACAGTATCCAGGCGACGAGGACAGCCAGGACCCCTCTGACCTTCTTACCAAATTCCTCATTCACCGGGCCCATCGCATCGACTTAGAAACCGCTCTTCAACCTCTCGTTCTCGATCTTCTCCTCCCCTTCTACCAACGCTCAGAAGTATTACGCACATGGCTGATCTCCAGTCTCTTACCGCTACTCCGATTGAACTACGAGTATTACCCCAGCCAAGACGAAACTTTTTCCCTGGATATCCTGGAGTCGATGGACAACAGTATTGCGGTCAACGTTCTTCTTTCGATGACTGGTGCGACAAAGAGCAGCATGGACTTGGTACGAAATCTACGCGGCCTTGTGGGTGCTTGGATGTATGGTAGCAACCGTTCCAAAAGACGGAGACTCAATGAAGCGATGCAAGAGACGTCGATTGTTCTGCCTCAGGATGAAGCGCAACCAAAAACCCCTTCAGGTGTCGGGTGGCAGCAAGTCAATGAGTGGCTGCTGGCACGAAGCCTCGTTGATCATGAGAGTGCGGTAAACGCCTTCGTCAATTGGGACGGGCCTGAGGATGTCGATCTAGGTGGATATTCTGAAGACAAGGAAGGTCTGTCGGATGATGAGCTGCAAGACTTGCGCAGGAGGTATGGACAGACTGGGCTTGCTGTCGTATATGCGCACTCTGATCCTAGCCCTCCGGCGCTGGACGGTTCCGTTCGAATTCTCGCGCGCATTGCGGAGTTCCTAAAGCTCGAAGAACACTCGTTCCTTTCGCCGGACAACTCAGAATTCCCTGACGTGAAATTTGATCCAGTGCCGATTTCGTCGGCATCAAGGGTATCCCTGCTGCAGAATGCCCTGCTGGTGGCCTCAAACCCTCTTACGCGCCCTTCTGCCTCGTCAATATCCTTCCTTAGTGGTATCTGCCTCTCTCTTCGGATACTGAACGATTTAGGCCACCCGACTCCATGCAGGACAGCGGCAAACATTTGTCTCCTCAATAATCAGGAAACACAGCTGTTCGAATTGCGCAGTGTAATAGCCTCTGTCGTAAGACGAGCAAGATTGGGTCATGACTGGAGCAAGACTCGCCAACAATTGCTATGGCTGCGTGACTGGCAAGCTGATCACACGGAAAACACCAGCGATCGTCCCGACTACCATGGTCTCTTTTGGAGAGTTCCGCAGGACGTCGTCGAAGCAGAAATATTGAAAGCGTTGCTTGAAGCCAAAGGTGAGCTCGGAGATCACCTCTGTTATTCGGCCTTTACTGACAACAATAGAATACCATCTTGCTGTGAGCATCTACATTGTCTCTGGCTCAACTTTGAGCTCTACACAGGTTGAAGAAGCCGTTAAGGAGGCCATCTTCACAGCCTACGACAACGCGAGCAACGGAAATAGGACCAGGGGCGGGATGAAGCGAGCATACGACATGTAAGCCAAGAGAATAAACGCCCATCGCCTGGAATTGATACTGACATCCTGCAGTCTACAAGCTTTTCAACCTCACTTCTCAGATTCTGCCTCCTTCAAGCAGATCCAATCCCTCATATCCGCCACGCACGCCCTGTCTTTCTACTCCCTTACTTTGCAGCACGGCGTCCTTTTCCAGCCAGTCAGCATCCGCGTCCACCCCGACCCTCTCTCCCTGATCGAGAAAGTTCTCGACCAGAACCCTAAGAGCTACACCAAACTGGACGACTTATTAGCCATTGGCCGGAACCTTGTTTTAGCAGGTGTCTCCCACTCTCCATCCGACGAAGATGTCTCCCCCTTCTTGTCCCCTCCCTCACAGGAAGACGCCGCCATCACTGCCGAACGCCGTATCATGTCCCTCGCCATTTCCTCCGCCCTTTCCTCGAACGACTTCGGCACGGCCTACTCCTACATTCTCACCCGTCTCACTCCCCCATCCCTTCTCCCTACGTCCTCCCCTCTCACCAATCCCACCTCCCCTAAAGACGACATCACCTGGCGAGCCGTCTACAACGCCGGTCGCTACCGCGCCCCAGCCACCAGCGCCACCCCCAACAACCAGACCCAAATCATGCACCTCTCCCAACGCATGGAACTCCTCTCTCTCGCCCTTGTCCTCGCCCCCAGCCCCGAACCTTTGCCCGAAATCCTGGGCGCCTGGCGCCGCTGCGACGAGGAACTAGCAGCTCTCCGCGCACGCGAATCCGAGGAAGAAGACATCTGGGACACCAAAGCCGACAACCTCACCTCCACCACCCTTCCGGGAGGCTTCGGCCCCACAGACAGCGAACAAGACGCGTTCGAAACGAGACAGCACCAAGCCCGACGAGCACGGGCGCACGCCTCACAGAACCGGCTCCATCATGAAGAAGCTCCCATGGGGCTGTTCGAGGTTGCCCGCGGCGCCGCTCTAGCGTTGCAAAAGAACGCCTTCCCGCTCCGGTCAGCTGCAGCGTCCGCAAAGACAAACACCCACGACCATGATGACCACTCTGTCCCCTCCTCGTCTCATCTCCGCAGTGGCTCCTCCATGTCCACCGATGAGCAGGACGGCGAAGGCCGCGTCCGCAAGAGAGACGTCGTCAGTAACATGGTCACTGATGGACTCGTTAGTGGCATTGGTTGGGTGTTGGGTGCTCAACCTGTCAATCGGTGAACCAAGTTTCAATTACCCCCGAGATACCAGTAGATCAAGGCCATATTACGAAGTACGACATGATTGTTTGAAGTGAGATGGAACGTTTCGCCATACAGAAAGCTAGAAGCTATCTTATCTTGTCCTTTATAAGCGTGGATTGCTACAACGTTGGTTTTTCTTTTTACTTCCCTCTATACATATATCGTCATATTCCATAGCTTTGCATGAGTGGGTGAGTGGATTAGTGAATGAGTGATAGGTTGCATAATCTAGCATATTAATGAATGAGAGAATAACCAATTCTTTTTAATCTCCTTTTTCCTTTCGTTGAAGCTACGAATATAGTATGTAGTAGTGGTATCTGCACCTGGCTTTCTATACTATTATCCCCTGTGCCAGAGATAGACAGGTACTTAATAGACAGACAAATATTGATCTAGTAATGCGTGCATTCATGTATGCTCCTTTGCCTTAGTCAGAACAGCCAAAGCAACCAACAAGCCAAGCAAGCGAACATACCGATTACGAGTAGTGAGTATATGCTATGAGTGTATGTCTGCGTACTAATGACTTATAACCAGCAAGCTTCGCTTTTTCTATCGTATCTTTACCTAGATTTTTCGTCTGTAGATGACCCTCGTAAATGGGAGGGGAAAGAACGAGCGTTTTTGGCGGGGGTGGCGGAGGGGGTAGAAGACCTCGTCGGCTAACTACTTGCATGTCGGTCAGGTGGTGCAAGTGCTACTCTGTTTCTTTATCTTATTGCCCATTAAATATATTAGATTTAGCTAGGGTTTGTGGCGTAACAGATCTTCTACTTCCTAAATATTTCATTTCGTAACTAAATCCACTGGACTCTATACTTCACGTTTATAGGACAACTTTTGCTAATATAATCAGTCTTGATATTCCTGTATCGCTATTCCGGTGCCAATCACTATACACAATATGCGGACCCTGCCTTGTCACAACGCACGCTCACAAGCAGAAAGAACAGGCTAATAGACTATAAATGAATATGTCTTCCGTGTGGCTGTATGTATGTATCTGCATGCGTACAATGGGAGAATGAAAGCCGGAAACGATGATAAACCAGATCAATGGATGAGGATCACAGAGGATAATGTATGTATGATGATATATGGAACAAACTCGACAAGATAGATGATAAAAGAGAACCAAGGATACCAATCTCTCCCCGTCTCAACCGGAAAAGAGGAACAAGCGTCAGCACCGCTGGCGATGATTTGAACAGAAACAACCTCAGGTTGCTGGATGAAATGACGACGGTTTTGGGTAGAAATAAAGAACCGAGATGACAATCGGACGCAATGCACAGGACGGGATAAATGCTGGACCAGCGGGGAGGCAAATTAAAGGAAGGCGTGATCATGTCGGGTGACGATAATGAAGAAAACATTCCCAACTCCATGATTCCAATAAAGGATAGACAGTGCCGCGAAGAAAATGAGTGTCGTCATGATCACAATTCGTATGCTTTTGACATCCGGGTCAACCAAGGGCCAGCCACTTGTAAGCATCAAAGGAGAGACCGTTATGTGCGATCGTATTAGAGGTGGAGCATTTCGTCCGGAAGGTGCATGAATGATTGCCGAGATCCAGTTGCTGCATGCAGGCAATCTAGTCTTTCCAGTCCCAGACTTGCCTTACGAAATTGGCCATGTTGACCTTCTTGTTTTTCATGTCCAGCATCCAGGGATGTTCGAGCATCCGCCAGGGAGTCGCTCGTCGCGGAGGTTCTTTCTCCAAACTAGACGGAAAGTTAGCACAATCCATCTACTATTAGGCATATCAACACGTACCAGCACTCGATGAAGTATTTGAAGTTCTCGGACCATCGAATACCGTTGTCCGGTTCGTCTTTCAGCTTGGGGATCGGTTGACGGACAATGTAGGTCAACAGATCGATCAAACCGGCGCGTGGCTGCATTTCGGTGCCGTCGGCAGGGAAGGGGAAGCGATGTTGGGCGACTTCAAGCAAGGTCACACCGAGTGACCACACGTCAGAGGTGATGGTGTATGATTGGCCGGTGATGCGTTCAGGGGCCATGTAGTACGATGTGCCGATAAACGTATTGGCGTCTCCCTTGGTGCCAAACTCTCCACTGACACCAAAATCACAAAGCTTGACCTGACCATTTCGGCAGAGGAGAATGTTCGACGGTTTGATGTCTAAAATTAACGTTAGCTGGATGATAAACAACTACAAACCTAGAACCTGACTGACCTCGGTGAATGATCTTTCTGCTATGAAGGTAGGTCAACCCGTTCAAGACACCCTCGGCAACCTTGCCTAGCACTTTCTCTCCCGTCCGTCCACCAAGCTTCTTGACCTCCTTGTAGATACTGTCCAAACTGCCACCTTCGCAGAATTCCATTGCAATGGAGATGGTCCCCGTTGACTTGTCCATAAAAGCACCGTAGTAGCGACAGATGTGCTCCGAGGCACAATCTTTATTGAAGTTGAGTTCTCGAACAATCTGCTTTTTCACATCGGGATTGGGGTCCGTAGTAATAATCTAGAAAGTTGTTAACATACCAGAACACCAGACGATGCAAACCACCAATAAAACCTACCTTCAACGCAAACACCGTCTTACCCTCCTTGAGCTTGCATCGAGTGACGGCACCTCCAGCGCCCTCACCCAAGCTACCCAACTCCACGATTTTCTTCTGCTCACTAGCTGCAAGCCAGGCTTCATCATCCAAGTCATCCACATCGAGGGGCCTGCCCTTTTCCAGACTCATCTTGTCCAGATCCGGGATTAGGCTGTTCACACTGCTATCGCGCTCCATCTGTACACCACTTTCCCGGTCGGAGTAGACGGAAATCGCTGACGAGGGATCCGGAGTGCTGCCGTGAGGCTGGCGAAGGCCCATGGCGAATGATAGGGCTGAATAGTTGGAGGATGATGCGGAGGCGGGCCCACTGGCCTTCCCGTCCAGGTACGTGAAGCTACCAGACCTCGAGTGTCCATTCGGTTCGTTCAAGCCGGTCGTCGCCAACGGTGGTGGGGCGGGTCGACTCTTCACTTGTTGCACATTCTGACTGCTGCCCATGGGGGTTTTCAGACGTAGCTGGGGAGGCGCCGGGCGAGCAGCTGGACGCTGCAGCTGAGGGACCTCTGTTGGAGGAGCAGGCGCGGGAGCGGGAGCGGCGGCGGCGGCAGCGACAGGAACACCGGTTCCCGTGACCGGACGAACATTTGGAGATGGAGGGATTCCCAAGGTGAGTTTGGGAGGTCGGGAACCATTGTTGTTGCCGCGGTTGCCAGGCACGGGCGGCTTGAGGAGAGGAACCGGCGAGGATGACATTGCGAGATTGTTTTGCCTCTCACCAGGCAAAAACAACTCGTTGGGGTCAGCCAAGGTAGCCAGATCGGCGGTGTTTGAGTAGGACACTTTGAAAGAGGGACGGAGGGACTCTGGGGAAAGGGATTAAGTGAAAGAGGAGAAAAGAGGAGAAGGTGTGATAAGTAAGAGGAAGAGGAGTTGGACGAGGTGGTCGGAACAAAGAGGGCCGTGGGGTTAATTGGCTGAACAGAGCGGCGGTTGGCTGACAAGAGGGGTTGGCTGATCGGAGAGGGGGAGAGAGTGTGAGAGAATTGAAGACAGAGGAGGAGAGGGAAAAAGAAAAAAGAATACAAATAAACGATGAATCAAAGCACTAAGCGAATGTTTGATCCCCAGCGATGATGATAATAATAATGAAGAAAAGAGTAGATAGAGATATAGGAAGGAGAAGGAGGAGGAGGAGGAGAGGAGAGGAGAGGAAGAAGCCGAGCAGGAAGGAAGGAAGGAAGAAAGAGGAGAAGATGTGACTTTGACGGTCGGCGAGGCCAGCGATTCTTGCTTTTGAAACTGGGGCCGAGTTTTGTGTCGATTTTGTCAGTTGGCGGCTGGACTCCACCGCTCGTAGGGTGACCACTAAGATCCTTTCTTTCCCACTGACTGGGATCGAACTCAGGTGTCGTTTAGTGATGAGTTAGACTAGTTAGTTAGTTAGTCAGGTCAAGAAAGTCACCGCAGCATTGGTTAAATAGTTATAGCCAGTCCTGTCAGGTCCATCTCTGCCGGTCAGTCAGTGCCATGCTCCGCACTCGCGACCGGCGAGGGATCGAATGGAGGCGCTGGAGGGTCGCCGGCCTGGTGGAACCGGCCTGTTTCAAATGGCGCCTAAAATGAGAAGTGCTTGCGATGAGAGATATTTTCGGAATCCATTGCTACTATTCTTGACAGCGACAGAGCTCCAGTTCTTCCCATGTCTAAGTTTATGTCTGTGTGTATCGGAGCTATGATTGTCTCTAATCTATTCTGATACCTGTCAATCTAATATAGTAGCTATAAACTATACTGTGTGTATCAAGTTGATGGTGGATGGGAACCTGTTCGGGTGCCTGAATCATCTGGCCTGGCCAGTCAGGCATCCCACCTAAAAGATTTTGAACTTAAAGATCGACTCCGCCTGAAATGAACCATGTTTCCTCGGAAGTTCCCACAAACAGCGACCCCGATAGACTTTCCTGATGATGTCGACGGAAGCTGCTTGTTCATTGAAGAATTGGGTTGTGCCAGGGTCCAACATCCCAACCAAATGATGTCGATGGACAAATCACCCAAAACGACTTAGTAGCGTGCGGATGTTTTACATCATCCGCCGGTTGAGTGTCTCTGATACTCGGTGCCACTATCGAAATTGATTGCTGCTCCATCCAATCTGCGCCGGCATCTTGCTCCGGGGCTCCACTCTCATTATGCCCCGACGGTGCTTGTTCAGCACAATTCATCTCGGCGGACGTTACGCAGTTCTAAGAATATACACGACAGTTACTGATTAGGATTATGGTCCTCAAGGCTGTCTGATCATAGTAACACGGGCCCAATATGATCAGACATTCGCATTGACACCGGACATACTAGTAGCACTCTGGTACATAGTACGGCCATCTATCACAGTCTCTTTGTCAACAGTAGATCCATAATCATGACTACCAAGCAACTACTAGTTGCCGTGCATCAACGCGTCAGCAACCGATACAGATTGACACGTGCCATTCTCAGCCTTGTCCAATCTCTCACTCTCACAGACACTCCTTTCCCACTATCCCCCCTATATGGATAGCTACTAGTTAGGGACAACTGACATCATCCAGTCCATCTGTGACGAATCTCTCTACCGTCTTTCCTCGATCCCGATGCCCGCCAACCTGGACGATTTCCGCAGCCACAAATCGATCCAGACCCACTCCGGTTTAAAATAGCAATCCCCCCCCCAGCCTTTGCACCGCCATAGCAACGGGG